CAAGTAGAGGTAAATTTTTGGGGCCGGAGCTGGTCGTATCTTGAAAAATTCGTAAGGAGGGCCGTTCGTAACTAGAGGCACCACTGTACGTTTCAAATGTTTCACCAGAATTAGATTATCTTTTTCAGCAAGGTAGATCTTTATGAAAGGAAGATGTATGCCAATTTCATCCTGCAGGCCTTTGAGCTGCATTCTTTTTAAAATTTGATTTTTTTAAAAAAAGAAGTCAGTAATTTGTTGTTTTGGGATAGAATATGAAGAAATTTACAGCAAGAAGAACCTCTACAGTGGGAAGTACCTTCGCTAAACTTCAGACTTATCACGCAATTCTACAAGACAAGAAACTCGATGGCGGTGAGAAGGGGCAAATAACATTACCAAGCATCCCTCATTTCCAAGTATTTTCCAGCTCCAAAAATGCTGAGATTTGCGTAAACAACATCTGAAGCAAGGCTTAATTTGAAGACAGACTTGTTATTCACTGAATCCAGCAGTCCCCCTGCCTTTCCTACCAAGGCATTTTACCAAAAATTGTTTTCCTTTTTTCTTGTGTCTTTTGCAGCACCAGTAAGATACTGATATATAAAACAGTTGAAGACATTCACAATTTACAGTCCTCGTTCATAAACCATTTTTGTTTTATATAATAAAATCTTCCCAGCCACTGATGGGAGATACAAAAACATACTTTCCTGATTTCCAGTGCTTACGGTGTCTTTAGTGAGCCTGGGTCAATCAGATTAATTGTAGCTAATAAGAATCCATGACAATTAGTGGCAACTCTGGAGAAACAAATTGGGAATAGAGCTTTGTGGAGGCTTTGAATTAGGAGGGAGCTGGTTGGTCCTGGATAAGCGAGTATCTCTTCCAAAGAATCCCACCCTCTACTTTATATGACCCAGGTTTCAGCCAAACCCAGTGCAGACCTCTAACTGAAAAAACTTGAAAAAGACACAGTGAAGAGATGCTTCTGAGTGCCAAATATTTGATGACTGTCTCATAATGTACATTTGCTTCCTGCTGCTTCAATGGTCAGACCCATAGATTTCAAATGTGAAAATATGTATTTCAAAATATTTAAAATATTAATATTAAAAAGAACTTCTCAAAAGTACGAGTTGCTTGGAACACACTGTTTGAGAACAAGGTGGACCCTCATTTTTTAAAGCAGAGATTCAATGAGCACCTCTCGGTATTGGTTTCTTGCATAAGCAAGCAGGGTGGATTGGATAGCCTTCACAACCCCTTCTCATTCTCATGAATGAGAACCCAACAGTGCGACTTCACATTGTTTTTGAAAATGGCTCTATGGCTTTTTGGATCTTTGATAGGAAGAGTCAAATATCTTGACTCAACAAATATGTTGAGAAGACATGTTTTATATCATTATAAAATTTTCCTCAAAAATCTGTTTCTAAAATGCTTAGGAACACTTCACATTTTTATAAAACATTTATTTTGAAACACACCAATATCTCAGTAACAGTTGTATTCACCATGTCAATGAATACTTATTCTAAAAGTTGTTCATGTGACACTGAAAAACCATTTGTGGTGTGTCCACATTCTCGGTTTCCATTTTAAAACTTTTATTCATCTACCCATTTCTCCAGCTGAAGGGCTCAACTCTTAGAATCCCAAAGCTGGAACAGCTCACATCTGCAACTTAATTTTAGATGGTTCTCCCACTTTGCTTCCACTCTTCTTCTCTCCAGTCCCCTGAAAGGAACTGCCTAAAGCCACTTTGCTCCAGATTTGAGAAGAGGGTTAAGGTGCTCGAAAACTCACCAGAGGGGATTGATAATAGCGATGTAAGATATTAATAAAATCAGTGATGGTCAGCATACCTGCAGGAGAGGAGATAAGAGAATGAATGAATGACACACATACACACCCAGAGACTAGGAGCTGCAGGAATTGACTAACAGAACCTACATTACAGCTGGCTTCTTATAGACAGTCAATAAATAATGCCTTCTGCCCTTGCTGCTGATTTCTGCATTTCTACACTCCCAGTGATTTACCCCTTCCAGTCTGACTGCTGCCATCGATATGGAGCTCTGTCCATTTTTCCTACTCCACAGCCACCAGCTGGGCAGCAAGGAATAGATTTCTCTGTTCTCCACTGCTGTCAAAGTGGTGGGGTGGGGGAAGAGTTTGAATGGCCTAACCAGTGGTAGGTGCTCCACAGCTCACATGGGCCCCCGGGAACCCACCACTGAAATCTGGGAACAAAACACAAATTTGGCAACTTATTCTTTCTTATTGCTACTGAACTAACAAAATAAGTGTATCCAGTTTCCTCTAGGTTTGACAGACCTATTTTGCTGACCAAACATTTTGACCACCCCACCCACCCCCCATTCCTCAGTTTTGTAAATGCTATAACATCTGCAGTCTTTTGAGGCCAAAAAGAAAATAATAATAATTTTGAAATGTTGCTTGCTCCTACCTTAACTGGAACAGGCACCAGTGCATGAGGCAACAGAACCAGGCCCAAGATGTTAAAACTGATGTTCTAAAGCCTCATCCACATGTCTACAGTAATGTGAAATTATGATGTGATTTACAGTCCCTCAAAGAAAAATGCCACAATGAAAGTAAGCACCTAGAGAAGACTGCTCCCGTTTTAGAAAGTGTATCCAAATATGTCCATAGCCAAACATGTCATATATTACAATCAATTTCCTTCTAGGGAAGGAAGAGTTATTCTTTTTACAAATATGAATATGAATGGTAGGATCCTGTGTATCTGATTTCATGCTGGATTGACTGATGTCTCTTGAAACTTTAATTATGTGTACAACGTGCATATTGACCTCCAGGTAGGCTGCATGTTGTCTTACATGAGGTCAATATTGCCATCACTAAACGCCCCCCAAAAGAAAAAGAAAATTTTTGTGCAGGGAAGATGTCTAGTCTCTCTGGCAGCCATAGCACAAATGACCACAGTGGTGCAGAGCCCAGCGGCCACATGGGTAGGGGTGGTCCTGCACCAGGCCAACTAGAGCCCAGCAGATCACTGACCTCTGAAGGCTCCTTCTCCATAAACCATGGATTGTCTGGATGGGTGGTCTGATGCCAATTTAAAAAGGAAAACACTATGTTCATGCCAGGACACTTTTTTTTTAGATTTTTTTTATCTGGCCTTTATTATTTTTATAAATAAGGTGGTGAACACACCTAATATTCCTTCCTCCTCCTATTTTCCCCACAACAACCACCCTGTGAGGTGAGTTGGGCTGAGAGAGAGGGACTGGCCCAAAGTCACCCAGTTGGCTTTCATGCCTAAGGCAGGACTAGAACTCACAGTCTCCTGGTTTACTTCACCCAACTTCAACCTGTCTTAGCAGCAGGCTGGCCATGAGATGGAAGGTCCATCGGTGGGACATCTCCTTGGCAAGCATTTCATGCTGTGGCAAGCAAGACTTGTGGATGAGTCTTAAGAATGTCTGCACGCTTCAAATTCTGCCTCCTTGGCTCTCCTTAACAGAGCTTGAAATGGATGGCAGTCCCAATTCACCTTTCCATCTCTGTCATGCCCATCTGCTGCTGGATTCACCCTCCACTGCTCATTCAGCTGCATCACTTACCCACAAAGCACTGCTGCTTGCTGTCCCAAAGAGGAGCGGCTCGCACCCCATTAGCCACCAGGGCACAGAATGCCTTTTTAATCTGGGAAAAGAGACATAGATCAAACTGACTCAGGCTGTTCTCTGTGGCCTGCCCCACCTCCCCTGTTTCCATAGGGAATAACTGATCTGGCCCTGCCCACTGGACAGAGAAAGATCTACTCCAGGGATTAATTCTTTATTCTGCATTTGTCAGCTTTGAAATTATTAAAGAAGATGTAGTTAGGGAAAGAGGGACCACCTCACTAAAAGTGGTGAAATGGTTACCTCCAACACAGCATTCTGGTCAATTCAAGGAATCCTCACACGGAAGAACCAGGGACAACTGTATTCTTGTGACCCAGCTATGTCATCATTCTATAGCTTTTTCTCACAATTCTCGCAAATTAACCAATTAGCCAAATGCTGGTCATTTTGACAGGCAAGATGAATATTGTAAATATGTTCAAGGAGATTCTTTGCAAAATAATTTCCAGTGAGCCTCAGCTTGTACCATCAGAGATGGAGGGTACATTTGGTCTCATTATAACAGTGTTCTCAGGTGCAATCTTTCCTTTCCCAATATGAATAACAAGCTTTCCAACAGGATAAAGAAAAAATATAACCAAGATGGGAGCAAGCCCACCACTTCCTGATCTTAGCCACCCAAGGCCTACTGTAATTCACCTGCAAGGGTGTCCTTGCCAACTGCTCAGAAGCTATAGCTGGTTCAAAATGCAGCTGCTTGTGTGGTAATGGAGTCATTTACATACTCCACCTCACCTTGCCCATATTACAGAATAAACACTCAGTTCATTTGTTATTTAATCTTTATCTATTTGAATCTATTTGAATCTCTAATTCAAGGTGCTGCTTGTAACCTATAAAGCCCTATGTGTCTTGGGATCTGGTTATCTAAGAGGGCACTTGCTTTGAGTAGAATGCGGCCTTCTGGTAAGAGCTCAAGAGCAGAGCATCCTACACATGCCTCCTTCTCAGGGGTGTCAGCAAGAGAAGACCCAAAGACGCGCCTTCTCTCTTATGGCTTCCCACTTGAGGAACAGCCCACCGCTAGAAACAAAGATAACTCTGTCCCTGTTGGTATTTCAGAAGGTGGTCAAGACCTGGCTCTCCCATGGGGCCTATGGGGATAGACTGGAAGTATGAATCTAGTTGTTCCCAAAGTTAAATAGACGACACCAAGGGGTTTCGATTTTACTGTATTTGATATGGCATGTCTTTAAACCTAATTTCTATTAGGGAATTGTTAGCCACTTAAAAGTCTTTGGACTGAAGCAGCATATAAACTCAAGTAAGTAAACAAATACATAAGATACCAAGCTCCCAGCAGACTCAGACATAAATATAATCAGATAGCAATACTCCCCCACTCCCTCCCCAAATTACTACATGGTTCACAAAACACCCACATTCTCCTCACCTGCAGGGTGGTCTCAAACACTACCAGTTTGGAACTGGTGGGAATAGCATCATAACAGTGATGACTCCGCATGAATTGCATATAGATTTCAGCATCTGGACCCAAGAACTCGATATCAGGACCAAACCCAAGAATCTCACAGTCAAGGGAAATGACATCATCATTGCCTTCCTGGCTGCCCTGTTCAGGCTTTGTGTCCTCTGATGTTACTCCTGTGCTGGGACCCAGGACCGTGCCTTTGTTAAGCTGACCTGTATCTTCTGCAATGCGAGTGCTTGCTTTGGTACTCCAGTCCTCAATCCTATCTCGGGGCACCATGTCATTGCCCGTTCCACCATTGTTGTGAGCTGTCTCCAACTCTTTGGTCTCTGAATGGGCTGACTTAAAATCCAATTCGATAGCAATGGTATCTACAGCAGTCACTTTGCCAACGTGCGCTGCGGTCTCAGCATCAAACACAGCTGCTTCTGGATCCTGGCTCTTGGTTCTGCCATCTGCCACTACATTTGTCAACATCAAATCCACTTCTTTGTCATTGGCAATCAAATCCTTGGCTTCCTGTACTACACCATTGGCTTTCAAAGCAGATTCCTCAATGTCCAGAGATGTGATGGGGCCTAGTGGGTAAGCATTGCAAGTCTAAACACTTTTGACAGGTGAAAATAAGTCATGTTGATCCTTTGAACTCACTAAGTCTACAGATATGATGTTTACTCATATAAAATTACAAACATGGACATGCTGGCTGAAACATCAGTTGTGCAAAGAAGCAAGCCTAAAATTGCAGCAATTATAATTATACTGACCATCAGTCATTTACATACTCCACCTCACCATGCCCATATTACAGAATAAACACTCAGTTCATTTGTTATTTAATCTTTTAACACATACTATAACAGAAAACCAGAGATGCACTGACATCAGTTAAAGTGGTCAGTAGGCATTCTCTTATTTTAACAGGTCCCCTATGGAATACAGTAGGGAAAAGTTCTCCTTTTTACAAAAGCGGGGAAAGCCTATCTAATTGTTTCTTTAAAAAGCATCAGATTGGCAGTAAGGAAGCTGTATACTTATGAATACATGTCTGTGACACTTGAATAGCTTTACAGGTAGTCTTCAGGTTACGACCATCTGTTCAGTGACTGTTCAAAGTTACGATGGCGCTGAACAAACGGGTCCTTGTAGTTCTGGCCATTGCAGCATCCCCACAGGTATGTGATTGCAACCCGAGTGCTTGGCACCCAGCTCACAATTATGACATTTGCAGCAAGCTGCAGTCACATGATTATAATTTCTGACATTCCCTGCCAGCTTCCCACAAGCAAAGTCAGTGTGGAAGCTGGCAGGAAGTCAGAAGTCATGGTCATGTAAGGTCCTCACTTAACGACCTGCACAGTCCTTGTTTAATGATGGCAACTGGGAACGCGGGAATTGTTGCTAAGCGATCCGGTTACATGATGTCGCACTTAACAACTGCTTTGCTTAGTGACAGCAATTCCAGTCCCAATTACCGAGGACTAGCTGTATAATCTTTATTGAATACCCTCATAACCACCCTGTCCCAATTATTCCTATTTGACAGAAGGAAAATAGAGGCTGGAAAATATTTGGGTTTGGCCAATGCTACCCAAGAAACCTAGAAATGAACTTGAATTTTGAATTCAAGCTATCTGAAGTCAAATTTCAGTTGATTTGTTTAGAATAGACTCCATAAGTAGCAACAAAACTCAAATTCCCTTTATTGAAAGTGCAAGGTAATTTGAAATAGAAGGGAAAGTAACATCTGGGTATTGGGGAGATCAAGAGAGCAGCATTTAGCTAAAGTGAAAACATCCTTGCTACATGGAGCTGCCACTTATGCATAGGAAAGGGTGCATAAATACTGGGTACCCTAATTAATACGATTAGCAGTTTTAGAAGACCCCCAAAGCAGGCAGTTAGTACCCAGAGCTATTCCCTGGTACAAATGCCTTGAATTAGCATCAGCTGAGTTGAAAGTAGTCACTCCATCAGTGGGCAAAACCGGGGCACTACTCACCTGTTTCTTCTTGAGGCTGGAGGCCATTGTTCAGTGGGGGCACCTGAGAGGCCAAAGAGAAAAGGGCAGAGTTAAATGGAGGCTTGCTATGTCTATGCTCAGTGCAGCTTTTAGGATCTGAATGCTATAGACCTGAACCATACACTCTGAGTCTGCATGATTAGAGTGAAGGGATCAATATCTAAAGTGGCAATGAAGCAATATCTAAATTGGCAATGTTAACTTCATAGCTTTAGTCAAATTACCTTGCACTTTCAATAAAGGGAATTTGATTTCCTTTATGGGCGATGGGGTGGGGTTGGGTGAATGAAGCCAGAGTGGCAATGAAGCAATATCTAAATTGGCAATGTTAACTTCATAGCTTTAGAGCATGCACAGAGTTCTTTATAGCCAAGCTTCAATACTAACAGCACTTAGCAAAATTGCAAGAGGAAGCAACTAACCACAGATGAGCTAGCTCAGATAATAGGGAAAACTCTTCCCGAAGAGACTAAGTCTGAGGCCTGATAAGGAGGGAGGACCCAGGACAAAGGTCTGCG